GGGGGAACCCCTACAGTCTGTTGGAAGGAAGCAAGTGCACTTGGGGATGGAAGATTGCTAAGGGAACAAAGGAACTTTCCTCTGTCATGGTTTGGTAGTTTTCCAGTCGTCTTAAGCACATCCACAAAATACAACGAACATGTAAAATACCAATGTAAGAGTTTAAAACGTAACATTTCACATCCAATTAAAATATAAACTGTATAAAGGTTTATTCTGTGAATGTGGTTGAGACCACTGGTCATGTGAGCTAAATAAATCGATTGATAGTAGTTTTCTATGAACAGTGCGAAAAGGCGAGAGTCCTTCCTTATGGAGAGAGGTGGAGAAATCTTTTTGAACTAAAGCAGGAGTTCCCAGCCTTTTAAAGCTGGTACACACCTTTGGAATTTCGAAAGGGGGTACAGCAACAAAACTTGCTGCAGGAGGTAAAGGCAAATGTACACACATACATGGAAGGGGGAATATAAAGATACACAAAGAAGGGAGGGCAAGATGATAATGCAGACACAAAACACAGGGAAATGATGAGCTGTGTAAAACATATACACAAGATTGTCAGATAGAGAAGGGTGAGAACTAAACACGCATCTTTTTTGTTGTAGATTTTCCAGGCTGTATGGCCATGGTCTTGGCATTGTAGTACCTGATGTTCTGCCAGCACCTGTGACTGGCATCCTCAGAGGTATAACACAAGAAGATGGAGTACTCTGTCAATGTGAGAGGGAAATGGTAGGCAGGTAATTTATATCTACTCAGGAAGGTGGGATAGTACTGAGTCATTATCTTGTAGGAGTTTCCTAGGCTTTGAAATTCTAATCTTATCTGCTGTGCTGTTGTAAGATATAGAGCCTTTTGTGTTTTTCCGGACAGGAAACCATGCCCTATTTATTTTTAAAGTCTCTTCTTTCCTGTTGAAATTGTGTGTATGTTTTATGAATTTCATTTGTTTCCCTATGTAATCTGACATGGTATGCTGATGGGTTATGCTGGTTTGTGGAACCCCATCTTGGTTTGATAAGAGCTTATTATTTAGAGCACCGGCACTTTGTTTGTAAGTGATTGTTTTATTCTGGTTTAGTAGTTGTATCATGGCATGTGCCTCTTGTTAGCCGCCCTGAGCCCGTTTGGGGAGAGCGGGATATTAAATAAATAAATAAAAATAATTAGCATGTCACAGCCTAGGAAACTCTTACAAGATAATGACTCAGCCCTATCCCACCTTCCTGTGTAGATATAAATTACCTGCCTACCATTTTTCTTCTTACATTGACGCAGAGAGTACTCCATCTTTCTATGTTATACCTCTGAGGATGCCAGTCACAGCTGCTGGTCCTACAATGCCAAGACCATGGTTATACAGCCTGGAAAATCTACAACCACTCCAGCCATGAAAGCCTTCAACAACACACATCTTTTTTCTTTGTATGTATAGGGAAGGATGGGCCAGAGACCACTGAAAAAGGCTTCAGTGAACCAGTATAAATGCATTATTACTTACAAACATTTTGTGTATCTGTTACAGAGCAGTTCTACCTGGATTACAGGTTTCTGGAATAGAATTGATTCATTTCTCAACTAGTTTAGTTAATCTGTTGTCCTGTAGGAATATCTCTTTACCTGTACCTGTGGTGTCCCAGTGCATTTGTGTAAAAAACAAATTCTACAAAATGCAGAATGTTTCTAGCTACAGGCATTCTATACAAGTGTTATACCTGGGAGCACCATATCACTGGGAGAAGTAGAATGCCTGTAGTGATGCTTGCTTACTGAGCTGGAATCTAGTTGTCAGAGACATCTTAATACGTCATCGTAAGCAAAGAACTGTAGAACTGAATAGCACCTTATGATTTTATGTTCTGACATTACAAATGATGTATTTTTTTATTGGATTTATTGGCAATTGGGCCACTGCTGTAAGCCGCCCTGAGCCTGTTCGCGGGGAGGGCAGGGTATACATTGAATTAATAAAATAAAATAATAATAAATAGGAATAAGTATGATTGCATTCAGTCTGGTTTGCTTACACATAAGTGTGCATAGTGTTGCAGCCTTTGCTTAAAAGGGAACTCTAGTAATAGTACTGTTGTTTCATACTTGTTTATAAAACGGAGAAATTGCCATTCTCTGGAATTTCAGGGGAGAAAATTTCCTTGTATGGCTGCAAGTTTCTTTGATCTAAAATGCATCACAACAAATATGTCTACAATCGAATAACTAACTCCACGAGGTTTTCTTAGCCAGTGCATGGTAGCCTACATTTAAAAATCATATATCCTTTCTAAAGAACATTCAGGCTTTAGCAGTTTTCTGGGGGGAAAGGTGTAACAGAGTGTTTTTACTGTGTTTTTAACGTGTTAGCCACCTTGGTAGCCCTGAAGAGGGCAGAAAGGCCAAGTATAAATTTTGTAAATAAATAAGCTACTGTGAGATGTCTGACTTGGCCAGCTATGAACAAGAAAAGAGTCACTAACAATTCTGCAATCCTAAATAGGCATACTCTGAATCCTACTGAAGTCTACACATTGGGGCTTACTCCCAGGAAATTATCTTTAGGATTGCACTGTATGAGGCTGAATCTATGCATTTTGTTGGAAGTAAGCCCCATGATACTCAGGGGATTTCCTTCTAAATTAGTGAGCCTAAGATTTAAGTTGCCTTTACAACAAACTATAAAAATGTGTAACTGAAAAATGCAATTGCCCATCTCTTCCAGCACTTTTAATAATGGTCATGTGGTAATAAATGAAGGTACAGCCCCTTTTACTTATACATAATGGGGTAGAATAGGTTCTACCCTCCAACACCCCCCCCCCCCAAATGTCTTGCTTTTACTTTTATGTGTGACAATGCCTTTCTGGACCTGGCTGTTTCTTGTCTCGGAATATGTAGGCTGGATGCTCCAGGCATATAGCAAATTTAGAGTACTTATCAACTCCAAGATAAATAGGATAAAAATTCTAAAATATCTAGTAGCAAGGTTGTTTTTGAAGGATTATTTGGTTAGCAGAGTGCTCAAGGCACATGACGCAGCAGAGCCTATCTGGTTTGTGTGTGCTGACAAGGAACAAAGTTACACACACAGCCGCTTTGTCTTTGCAAAACTAGTATGAGTCTTTTATTGTAATGAACTCCATTCTAGACAGAGTAGAGATAGGATTCTAATCTAGTCTAACTAGCTAGCATGGATAGAGATGCAGAAAGCATTTCCTGCCAAGATGGAGAAGGCTAGCACAATGTTAAGAGAAGGTGTCAAGCAGAAAGGAAGGAAGATTTCCTGAGAGTAGCTATCTACGCATCAAAGGGATAGTATCAGAGTAGTAGAAAGGAAGGATGGTCAGGGTCCTGGCCTACCTATTTCTCTGATTCTCTTATAGTCCCCCTCCGAAGTCTGAGGCTAAGAGACAGCACGGAGTTCTTCACTTCTGACCGTTTCCCCAACAATGTTGCCATAAAAATCAAAATATCCATAAAGATTCTTAATCCAAATTAAAGGCCCTCCAGAATAAGCAGGTGAAAGGGCCCTTAGGGATGTAGCAGCTCTCACCAACTGAGGTAGGGTATTCCACAGTTGAGGAGTGGAGTGGAGGAGGTCTTCCTCCCTTTGATCCCAGCCAGCTGAAGCTCAGAAAAGGCTGGGTCCCAAGGAAAGGCCCCTGTGCAAATATCAAGCAGAAGAAGAGAAGAGATTGGATTTATACCCTGCCCTTCACTTGGAGTCTCAGAGCGGCTCACAAACTCCTTCCCTTCCCCACAACAGGCACCCTGTGAGGTGGGTGGGGCTGAGAGAGCTCTTGACAGAAACTGCTTTTTCAAGGACAGCTGTGCCAGAGCTTGTGACTGACCCAAGGTCACATCAGCAGGTGCAAGTGGAGGAGTGGGGAATCAAACCCGGTTCTCCCAGATTAGAGTCTGCACACTTAACCAGGGCAGATAATACAGATAGAGAACAGTCTCTTAGGTTCTTGGTGGGGAGGGAGGCACTTTGTATTGTGTTGGAAGCAAATTGGAAGTCAGTAGAGATGACAAAACATGGACTTAATGTGATTGCACTGTTGTAGCGATGACTCTGGTTGCCACATTTTGAGCCTTTGCATCTTCTGGATTGTCTTCAAGGACAGCCCCATGTACAGCATGTTACATCAGTTAAATCTTGGATATTAGTGAGGCATGTGCAGACACAAAGTGAAGATGATGTCTGTATTTTTGCTCTCACAGGAATGTTCAGTTTCCAGTGGTATACTTGCATGTAGTCTGCTCCTGAGGTACTTGGACAAAAAACAGGATGTATACTTTGCTTTGTAATCACAGTTGCTCTTAGGGCTCTTGCATATGGAAGTAGTAACAGTTGATTCTTAAAGGTAAAGGTTCCCTTGCTCGAAAGCCAGTCAAATCCGACTCTAGGTTTGCGGTGCTCATCTCCATTTCAAAGCCAAAGAGCCAGCGCTGTCCGAAGATGTTTCCGTGGTCATGTGGCCGGCATGACTAAACACCAAGCCGCACGGAACGCTGTTACCTTCCCACCGAAGTGGTACCTATTTATCTACTTGCAATTTCTTGCTTTCGAACTGCTGGGTTGGCAGGAGCTGGAACTAGAGATGGGAGTTGATTCTTACTTTTTGGCTTTTGGAGTGGATTGTTTTGACTTTGGTAAGAATTTATGTTGCTATCTTTTGCATGCCTGTGCATATTTGGATTCATGTCTTTTAATAAAATGTTTGGAATAATGTTGCTGGAGTTGAGAGCCAAGTCAATTGTTGTGACTTTTGAAATTGGGGCATAGGGTGTGCCATTGAGGTAATAATACACTCGACTTGATCTTCGCGACACGGGTTACAGTGGACCGAATCATTGCTTTGGCAGTGCCATGGTCGGACCACCATGCCCTGAAGGCCCGTGTGAATGTGTCGCCCCAACCCTGTTTGGGTGGCAAGCATATTCTGGCTCGACTGCGGAGCCAAGTGGACCCTCAGCGGCTTCAGATGGCTCTGCATGATCCTATGCCCCTTGGCGGCTCGTTAGACGAGCTTGTCGAGGACTGGCACAGTCAGCTCTTGGCAGCCATCGAGGAGATTGCTCCCCGATGCCCTCTGTGCCCTCGCCCTAAGTGGGCTCCTTGGTTCACCGAGGAGCTGCGGCTGATGAAGCAAGGGCTTAGACGGCTAGAGAGACGGTGGCGGCACACTCGTGATGAAGCAACAAGAGCATCTTATGGGATGTTGATGAGATCCTATGAGATGGCAATCGAAGCTGCAAAGAGACAGTTCTACGCGCCGCGTCTGCTAGCTCACGCCCAGCACAATTGTTTAGAACTATTCGGTCGTTAACAGAGCTGCCTTGGGGCAGACCAAATGCTTGGGAATTGGATATTGGCTGTGAGGCTTTTGCAAGCTATTTTGCAGGTAAAGTCTTGCTGCTCCGCCACGATCTCCCTGCCACAGTTGAGACAGTGAGTGAACGCAAGGCTCCATGCACGTCTTTTTAAAAAATAATATTTTTTATTGATTTTCAAAAATTACATAACTATTGCATGTCGCAGTATAAAGCATGGGTGCAGAATAAATTACAGAACAATAAAAACATAAGAGAACAATTTTTTGGTTGGAAAGGTCAGTTGAATAAGTACTACAACTATCAACTTATTCTATAACATATTTTTGAACTGGAGGCAACATATAACGGATACTAAAATCTAAGGGATATTTTTTATCACAGCCGTCATAGACTGCTGGGTACATGTGACGTTATTCCATCCTGGTGGCAATGCCGAGTTCGTCTTTTAGTTGAACAGCATAATTTTATACTTAGCTTTAGATATGGTCTCCCAGCTGAATTCGTCCATGACAATATTGTTCAAAATGGGGGACCAAATACTAAGAGGGTTATAGAATTCACATTCAGTTTGGTGATTCGAGTCGTAAATGGAGTATTTCTCCAACATAAAAGCATCCCAAATTTTATGCAACCATTGTGTTATTGTTGGAGGTTTAGGATTCTTCCACTTCTGGGCAATCACAGATTTTGCAGTTGATATTAGAATATTTAATAATTTTCTTGTTCTTTCAGGTGGTCTATCAGGAGGCCAGAGATGGAGGAGCATCAGTTCCGGAGTACAAGGTAAGCTGTGACCAGTGAGTTTTTTAATGTGTATGATTATTTGTGTCCAGAAATGATGAATCTCTTTGCAGGTCCACCAATTGTGGAAATAAGTGGCTTTTTCTCCACAGTTTTTCCAACAAAAGGGGGTTATGGCTGGTATGATATGCGTTAATTTTGAAAGTGTTAAGTACCACCTTGTGGTGACTTTGGAATTTACTTCATGTATGCTGGAAATTTTGGAGATGTTGTTTTGGGTCTGCCAAATGTCGGACCAGTTTTCTTCTGTTAGTTGTTTTTTGAGGTCATCGTTCCAGGACTTTTGATAGGTTAAGAGTGGCGGAGCATTTGCGGATAAGAGACAGGTTTTTTGGGATGAGCCCTTTTTTGGGTGGGAGGTTTGTGTAGAAGTTTTTCAAGTAGTGTGAGGGGTCCTCTTGCTGGTTTGAACAAAGTTGGAGCTGTTTATTAGGCTTTGCACTTGGAGATATTCATACCATTTTATTTTTATTTTATACTTGGTTTCTAGATCCAGCTTAGTTAACATTTTGTTTTTGTGTATAAGGTCTATAATCGAGTTTAATTTTGCTTTCCTCCATGTGTTAAAGGAGTTGAAAGAGAAGGCTGGCTTAAACCATTTTTGTCTGGTGAATATAGTTAATTGTGAGTTTCCATTTGTTAGTTTAGGTCTTGCTTCATACCATGTCTTTAATGCTGTTTTAACGAAAGGGTTTTTGGCTTGAGTTTATTTTGCCACATAAGTTCTGGTATAGATAGATCGTTGTCTTTGTCCTCTTCTAGCCTTTTCCAATCAGGGTTGTTTTGATCATGGTATTGCCGAATTCATGCACGTCTTCTGGTTCTGTTCTGGATTATTTCAGTCCACTCAGCCTTGAGGAAGTCCACAAATTGCTCTCAACGGTACGCCCAACCACGTGCAGCCTTGATCCGTGCCCTTCATGGCTCATAAAAGCTGGCCGTCAGGGGTTACGATGTGCCCTCAGGGATATTATCAACAAGTCCTTCACTGAGGGACTGTTCCCGGGGGCACTCAAAAAAGCAATGGTCCGCCCTCTCCTGAAAAAAAAATCCTTGGACCTGGCCAAATTGGCCAACTATCAGCTGGTCTCCAATTTGCCCTATTTGGGCAAATTACTTGAGAGAGCAGTGGCAATTCAGTTGCAGAGCTTTATGGATGACACTTCCATGCTAGACCCGTTTGAGTCCGGCTTCTGGCCGGGTCATGGGACAGAGACGGCACTGGTCACCCTCACAGACGACCTCCAGAGGCATCTGGATCAAGGCGGTACGGCGGTGCTGTTGCTGTTAGATCTGTCGGTGGTATTTGACACCGTCAACCATCAGTTACTGATCCACCGCCTCGCCGACACTGGGATCCAGGGGCTTGCCTCCTTTCTCCAAGGTCGGGGACAGAGGGTGGCGTTAGGGGAGCAGACATCCCAGAGGTACCCGCTGGTTTGCGGGGTTCCTCAAGGGGTGGTACGGACCCCAATGATATTTAACGTCTACATGCACCCCCTCGCCCAGATTGCCCAGAGGCATAGGCTAGGGTGCCATCAATATGCAGATGACACCCAGCTAAATCTGTTGTTGGGCGGTCAGTCCAACTCTACCCCAGATGATCTGGAGCAGGCGCTTTGTGACATGGCGGGCTGGCTTAGACTGAGCCAATTGAAATTGAATCCAATGAAGACAGAGGTCCTGTGCCTGAGTCGGAGCGGATCGGGGGTAGGGGTCCCGCTCCCGACCTTCGATGGGGCGCCATTGGTGCCAGCACCGAGAGTTAGGAGTTTGTGAGTGCTCCTGGATGCCGCCTTAACGATGGAGGCCCAGGTAGCAGCCACTGACAAGACAGCCTTTTACCATCTGTGGCTGATTAGGCAGTTGGTTCCCTTCCTCAAACGCAATGACCTGGCAACAGTGATCCATGCTATGGTCACCTTGAGATTAGACCACTGCTGAATGCTCTCTACATGGGGCTGCCCTTGTCTCAGATGCGGAAGCTGCAGCTGGTGCAAAATGCGGCAGCCAGGCTGTTGATGGGTCTCTCTATACGAGACCACATCCAGCCTGTGCTGAAGGCATTGCACTGGCTGCCAATAGCTTACCGGATCCGTTTCAAGGTGCTGGTTTTTTGTTTTTAAAGCCCTGTATGGTCAGGGGCCTGCCTACTTGAGGGACCATCTTTCCCCACATGTGCCCCAGAGAGCACTGAGGTCAGGGACTCAGAATCACCTGGCTCTCCCCGGCCCTAGAGACGCCAGGTTGGCCGCTACTAGAGCCAGGGCCTTTTCAGTGGCGGCTCCACACTGGTGGAATGAGCTCCCAGATAACATCAGGGCCCTACGGGACTTTTTACAGTTCCACGGGAACTGTAAAACGGAGCTCTTCCACCAGGCTTTTGATTAGGAGCCGTCACTGACAAATGTGCCACCGGAACATACTACGGCCCGCACAAAACATCGGTGGATATTGCCCTCCTCCGTATATTGAATGCCACCATCATTTATATTGTCCTTGTTAGAATTCTATGATGCTAGGTAATTGTTATTTATGTTTTATTGTATTTTATTGTATTTATTGTTTTACCACTTTTAATGCTTGTCCGCCACCTTGAGCCAGTTCCCTGGCAAGGCGGGATATAAATTGAAATAAATAAATATAATAAATTTTGTTCTGTGACTTCAGCAAGAACAACTTGAGGATGAAGATGTTGGACATTGTAGGCCTGGAAGAAAAATGCAAAAACAACCTTTCAGAGCTCCTGCACAATATAGACAACAGAGACTTCGTGTGGATGGATGAGATTCTTGAAGAAGCTAACAAGATATTCAAGAGGTAGGAGTTAGAATGCAGGAAATGCTGCAGAAATAGTCTTCTATCAGTGAAAAACTTACAGTCCAGAAGTTAACAATAAGAAAGTTATATCTTGGATTTAGGATTGCTGCCCTGTGTTAGTCTGTTGCAGTGAAAAATGGGTTGGGCTGTGTGGGGGTGGGGTGGTGGCCCCCCCCCCCCCCCCATTCTACTATATCTAGGTTTGACTAGAAGAAGAAATAACATTATATAATACCTTTTATTGAGGAAAACACATAAAAAACAAAACATTGTGCAAGCGTTTGAGTTATATAGAATCCTTCATAAGGCAGATGTTGCAAAAAAATTTAAATAAACTTTCCGGTTCTAGGTCTTAGGGCCCTGTCATGCAAGCCATTGATGTTGGATGCTGGCGGGCTCGCAGTTTGATTGTTGTAAATGTTGAATTACAGGATTTGTATTCTGGGAAGAAGAAAAGAAACAATGTCTAACAGGGGTGTCGAACTCATTTGTTATGAGGGCCGGATCTGACATAAATGATTCCTTGTTGGGCCGGGCCTTCATCTAATGTAATGCCATGTAGTGGAGATATAAACTTTATAAAGGACACAGACAAACACAAGTAAAGATTTTTTTAAACTTTAAATAAAACATCTCCTGTATACGATTGAGGCAGCCTGGCCAGGAAGCGAGCTCTGGCTGGTTCCCTTCATCCCCCTGGGAGGAGGAGGGGGAGGAGCCTCAGCCAATGCTTTACCAGACTCTCTCAATCACACAGGAGAGACTTGCCTATCTATCTCTCCTGTGTGCTTGAGAGAGTCTGGTAAAGTAAGCTGTGATGTAACTTCAGCAGCAGAACTGGAAAAGGAAGCAGGAAACAGCCAGGGTCTTGCAGGCCGGATTGCAGCCCTCCGAGGGCCTGATCCGGCCCCCGGGCCGCATGTTTGATACCCCTGGTCTACAGTCTACCAAATGAATACAATGCTTCGTGCATCTGATTAAATTGACTCCATCTAATGAAAGCCTATGGCACAACAAGTCCATTGGTTTTTGAGGTGCCACAAGTTTGTTCATTATCGGGAAAAGACTGTTTTTAAATCATTGGCCTAAAGTAAGCTTTTTGTTTTGAAACACATTTCCTGAACAAGCAAGCAAGCTTGCCAACTAGTTTTAGAGCAGTTAAACAACAACTAAATAGGGCATTTATTTGGTTTAGATATAGTATCCAAGACCTTTGGTTGTGCAGCTTTTGTATCGCAGATTCATATCTGGTTAGAAACAAGAAAGAGATCTTGGTTTGGCTCAGAGTGCTTTGTTGATGAGAGGGTATGGGTTAAAAATTGAATAAAGAAATACATTTCTGTACTAAATTTGGCTCTATACTATTTATATACTAAACTTGGCACTGTGATCCAGGACGCTAATAATGCCACTTTGTAGGTGTCACTTACCCTTCCTGTTTCATCAGATTGCACACTTGGCATGCTCAGGACAAACAGCAATAAGTCCCCCAGTTTTTTGCTGCCTGTTCCCAGCATGCCAAGGGTGGGACCTCATGTGGTATCCTCATACCAGACACACCATCCTTTGAAGCTGGCAAAGATGTAGCCTGATAACATCCACAGCCTGAGCCCTTTAAAGTTTGTATACCACACTATACCATACTCCATGACCTTGGAGGGCTCCCCCCCCTTTCCTTTTGCTGTTTAAAACCTATCCTGTTGAAGCGTTCTGGAAAACTTTAGTGTTTGTCTATGTGAATGTGTTGACGTGTTTTATTTAATTCTTTAAAGTATTTTATGTATATTTGAATTGAAATGTTTTTTTAGTGTTTTATTTGCTGCCTTGGGGACACTAAGTTGGGCTGAAAGGAAGCATACAAATATTTTAATAAGATAAACAATAAAATAAAAATACTAAATTATATAATTTCAGCTGGTCTTCATAAAAGCTGTTAGGTTTTGAATCTGCAGGCCTGCCACTTATACTCAGCCTTTCTCCAAATAGTCTATGACTGGCCAGGGAATCTTGCTGGAATTGTCTTGGAACAGAGGAGGGGTATCTTCTATTTAATTCTGTCAGCATGCCACTCCTTCAGTAGGAAGTGTTGACAACAGTACCTGACCTTGAGTTGGCAAGGAAATCACCTCAGCCAACAATACCTGACCTTGAGCTGGAACGGAAATGGATCTCCTAGCGGCCCCTGTTCTGCAGCATTAATTGAAACTGTACAAAGAAGAAATGTCTTCCTGTACTGAAATTAGGCATTTAATTTAATGATCAAGTTTAGTAGATAATAGCACCTGGCACATTGGGAAGTAAAGTGTTGAACTTAATTTTTCCCTGGTCAAAACAGCAACTTTGATGAAGAGCCTGAGTTAATGCCAAAGACTCCATCACAGAAGAATCGCAGGAAAAAGAAACGTTTTTCTACAACTAAGAATGATCCGTTTTCTGAAAAGAGGTAAGAATGGCTATGCCACTCCCAGTTGTTACTTCAGAGAATGTCAGGGTTGCAACATTTATTTTGTTAAAGAACATTATTGAAAGATTGTTCCAATTTGTTGAGCAGTAAACTTTTTAAAAACAGTTGTTTTAATTTAGTACTTTACTAATTATGGGAGCAGTTCCATCTTAGGAAAAAGTTCTTCCTCTTCTCTTTCTAAGAGGAAGGAATGTGTGTGCTGTAACACAGGTAGGTTGCTTTGTTTCATTGCCACCATGCTTTAATATTTTTTCCCAAACTGATCAAACAAGAGAAATGTTTCCCAGTGATGTAGGGCTATCTGGAGACTGAAGACATCCTTCTTTTTCAAGAGCAGCATATCTATTGCTTAAAGGTCTCTCAAATCCTCCCTCAAATAATAAGTTTCATCAATCTAATTGTTTGACAGATTCTGTCAGCGGAGGCAGCCCAGAGCTTGTGCGGCTCTGCTTTTTGCATGCCACAGCAAGTAATACAGTAATGAGGAAAAACAGACTCTCGCCATCTAAACAGCCAATGCCTCAGACCTGGCCCGTGAGCACTAAGACGGGGAGAGTCTCCCAGCCTGCCGAGTTGTATCTGTATCTGTAGTGTAGCACCTTGCTTCAAGGCTGAATAAACAAACATCCCATGGCTAGCTGGAATCTCCAAACACTGTCGGTGAAGAGTTGGCAAGTTCTGAGTATTCATCAAAGAAGAAAACCAAAAATTGTGAGAGATGCACTCATCAGTGCTGTTATTCCGTCACCATCTTATCCTCTTTTTGCTGTAGCAAGAGATTTTCTGGCCTGGGACCTCTGTTCCCCACCACCAATTGACAAGCTAGCAGGGGGGAAATGAGGGAGTTTCAGTGTTGTGCCAGCATGCAACATGACTTCCACCACAAAACCAAAAGTGACGTTGTCATGTCAAGATGCCTGTTGCAGGGAGAGGAAGGGAATGCAACCGTGAGCCACTTTGAGGCTCCTTAAGGTAGAGAAAAGTGGGATCTCTTAACAGCCTAAGCTTGAAGAGTGCTCCCCCTTTAGAGCTATTTTCTGCATGCTTCTATGTTTCTTTATCCAAGTTTAATCAAGATTTCTTTGTTCTGTAGACAGCCTTAGCCAAGATAATCTGTTTATGAAAGATCTGTTCATGTACGGTGGAAATGTCAGGATAACTCCAATGGCAGTAGGGTAGTACAGTGAAACGAGGTTCCACTCTATAAAGATAACTGACCAATTAAGTAAAATGCTTGGGTAAAGAATGCAAACTAATTTCCCAGAGTTTTATTGACAGATTTGGCAATTAAGGGGTTTGACGCAAAAAGTCACTTCCATTGGTCTGTTTTCTTTGTCTCATAAGAAGTTGACTAATATTGATTGATATTGATACTTATTAGAACTGTCAACCAATTAAAGACCTTTTGCTTAAAACTTAATTTAAGTATGTGCCTATTAATCAGTTAATCAAAATTTAAACAATTTATCACCAAAATCTGAGTATGGATATTTTTTTCAGGTTTTGGGGGAAGCATAACACATGTATATTCAAATGTATATTCTCAAAAACTATTTCTCAAAATCGTAATTTTTGAACTTCTCTTTGGGGGGGAATAATCAAAGACCCAGAACTGCCAACAAAAAAAAATAACAAATACCAACTGAAAAAGACTTTGAATTCCCTAATTTATGGCCCTATTTATAGTAGCCTAAACAAAATACTGGCAAGAACTCCCTCCTTCAGATTCTGTTTGCCCTCTATGAGCACAAATAGAAAAGCTTTACTTTTGTCCTCTCTTTGGCTGGAAGACATTAGGCTCATACAATGTATTGTAACTCAAAATCCTTACTGTCTCAGCAACCAGAAGAATCTGGGAAGAAATTTTTTTAGGCCAGAAATTTGAAGAAGAGGAGATTGGATTTATATCCCACCCTTCACTACCCGAAGGAGTCTCAGAGCAGTTCCGATGCTTTTTAACTTGTTCATTAATGATTTGGAGTTGGGAGAAAGCAATGAAGTGGCTAAATTTGCAGATGGCATGAAGTTGTTCAGGGTGGTGAGAACCAGGGAGGATTGTGAGGCACTCCAAAGGGATCTGTCAAGGATGGGCGAGTGGGCATCAACATGGCAAATGGGGTTCAATGTGGCCAAGTGCAAAGTGGTGCACATTGGAGCCAGAAACCCTAGCTATAAATACACATTGATGGGGTCCGAAGTGGCAGAGACTGACCAAGAGAGAGAGATTGGAGTTGTAGTAGATAACTCATTGAAAATGTCGAGACAGTGTGCGACTGCAATAAAAAAGGCCGACACTATGCTGGGGATTATTAGGAAGGGGATTGAAAACAGAATCAGCCCCTGTATAAGTCAATGGTGCAACCGCATTTGGAGTACTGTGTACAGTTCTGGTTACCACACCTCAAAAAGGGTATTATAGCTTTGGGAAAAGTGCAGAAAAGGGCAACTAGAATGATAAAAGGGTTGGAACACTTTCCCTATGAAGAAAGGCTTGGGGCTCTTTAGCTTGGGAGAAACGATGGCTGAGGGGTGACATGATTATGCATGGGATAGGGCAGGTAGAGAAAGAAGTACTTTTCTCCCTTTCTCACAATACAAGAACTTGTGGGCATTCAACGAAATTGCTGAGCAGTCGGGTTAGAACAGATAAAAGGAAGTACTTCTTCACCCAAAGAGTGATTAACACTTGGAATTCACTGCCACAGGAGGTGGTGGTGGCTACAAGCATGGACGGCTTCAAGAGGGAATTAGATAAACATATGGAGCAGAGGTCCATCAGTGGCTATTAACCACAAGGTATTGATAGGAACTCTCAGTCTGGGGCAAGTGATGCACTGTATTCTTAGTGCTGGGGGGAGGGGCAACAGTGGGAGGGCTTCTAGTGTCCTGGTCCCACTGATGGACCTCCTGATGGTACCTGGCATTTTTGGCCACTGTGTGACGGAGTGTTGGACTAGATGGACCATTGGCCTGATTCAACGTTGGCTTCTCTTATGTTCTTATGAACAGGGGTCATTTCGTAGAAAAAGAGCTAGGGGGACTCATTAGCATAACTCATTAGCATATGCCACACCCCCTGACATCACCGGAAGTGTGTCCTCCCCGCAGCCGGCGGCGACCTCCAGTGGGCACCAGCAGGGAGCTCCAGGCCCTGCCCTCCCGCACCTCACCCGGGGGATGGCGTCCCCCCGCGTCCCCCCCCCCCCAAAATGACCCCTGCATGAGTAGGGAATCAAACCCGGTTCTCCCAGATTAGACTCCACGCTCCTAACCACTATACCAAACTGACCCATTTGTACAGTCATGATTACTGCTATGAGGCAACCTTGATGCTAAAATCACAGGCAGATTTTTCCTGTGGCTGCCACAGGATGAATCTGGTATCATTTTATTAACGTAGCTGGTGAGATGATATTAAACTTTTTAGAGACTTAAAAACAGAATTTGATTTTCCCATTGGCAGTATCTGCAATTAATTGCCGTGGTACCAAATTCAGCCCGGGTGAACTTGCAGTTTTGGACCTACGTGATGTATTGTTGCTTTCTGACAAAATCATCACCAAAAGCACACAAATTTTTGTAAGCCTGTAGGAAACCTGACCACAAAGTTATAACTGATGAACTGTGGCAGACCTGGAATATGGAATTGAGTATACAAATTCACAAAACAATATGGCAAGAAATAGTGTATTACATTAAACTTACTCTGACCTTTCATTGCAGTTATTGGGCACATCGTAGATTCTTTAAATTGGGGTTATATTCAGATAGGTGTTGGAGATGTAAACAGCTAAGAACACATTGGTGCATATGTCTTATTATTATGCCATTTTGTTTAGAAATTAATAGACAAATTAATTTTATGGAATGTTCAATTGGTTCTTAATCTACTTAACTCAGTATTGGAGTACATTTCTTTTTCTTGGAAGCTCTTAAAAGGACAGAGGTTTTACATCTTGTGAGCCTTGGTAATAGCTGGAAAAAAATGGAAAGCAACAGCTGTGCCACACATTTAAATATGGATTGAAGCAGTGCTAGAGCTTGTGGTCAAAGAAAGAGTTTCCTTTAATGAAAAATACATGTGAAATGCTATGACTTTTATGGACATATTTGGAGTATGCTTTTACAATACATTAGCTGTGTTGGAGAAGAGACAGCATGCTAAGTGTCTAGTTAATGCAAATATTGCTGAAAGAGTAGTTTAGTCCACTTGTGCCCTACCTCTTGTCCAGCGTACCTCTTGTTGTTTCTCTCTCTGCTGTGTGTTAGAATGTGTTAGTGCTTGTGCTCTGATGGCCTCTGTTGTATTAGTGGACTGCAGTCAGCTATTGTCTTTTTGCAAAAATCCTGTTGCAGTAAATTCATTGAAAGCCAACTCCAAAGCATGGATTCTATTGTTTCCTGAATTCTGCCAACAAGCTGGTCACCTGGGGGTGAAGCAGAAGTTTTTGGGGACTATATCTAATTGGCCTTGAGAGTCCTTTTTTCATCCGCTTCATATTGTATCAGGGAGTGGGGGCTTATTTAAATAGGTCTGGCTAGAGTAGACTGGTAAAGCCTTAACTAAGGTGATGGGTTTAGTGCAGGCTAGTGTTGGTTTAATCAAACATGCTGAGGTATTTTGGGTCAGGGAAAGATAACCAAACTGGACATACTGGATTGTTTTATCCCACTGCCTGTGAGGGGAGCCCTTGGTCCTGGTTGTCAGCGCTTGAACCTTTGTGCTGCTCAGCATGGTGTGTGTGGGGGGGTAAACTTAATGGAATATCTCAGCACAACTTCAATGTGCAGACTAGGACAAGAAAGGGGCACCTTGGTCGTCACTTCCTAACTACACCCGCTGCATGAAACGCTAAATACAGGTTTGTTCTACTCATCATAGTATTTCTGCCAGTTCTATCCTGTTATGAACTTACTTTCACTGCATTCCTGAGAGTGTTTGTATTAACAGGTTATTGGAGAGAGACACTAACCGGTCAAGTCCTGTTCAACTTACTTCCAAAAGACTTCAACCGAAAAAGAATTTAGAGAATGCCGCTCATTGTCGGATGACCAGATCTCAGTCTGCCAGGATTTCAAATGCTTCTTGTAAAACAGCAAGTATTGACTTAGTAAGAGGAAGAATACCTCTAGTAGAAATTAATAACCATGAGAGGCTTAGTGCAGAGTTAAAGATTGAAAAAACAGCAGCTCAGAAAACTGAGAAGTCTGCTTCAGCCAATGAATCATCATTGGATGGTGAGTACTGTGTAGAGACATTGCAACCTTTGTCTAAAGCTTCGTTGCTTTTGGTCTCAGACACCCCAGAGACTCAAATAATAAAAGTTGGCCGGAGTGCATGCAAGCTGAAAATAGCAAATGTAGCCATCATCAACACCACTGAAACTGAAAAACCCAGCTCTCCGACGGAAGAGTTACTTGAGCGGCAACAAGAGAGGGGCCAGGATTCAGAAATCAAACTTCCTCAGAACTTAAATGAGAGTGCACAGACACCCAGAGCACCGAAAGCTAATTGTCAGTCTGTGCGCCGAAGTCTGATGGGTAGAACGTCTATGAATAAAGCTTCCCTTGTACAGAGATGTTCACTGGCCAGCAAAAGGGAAAGAACAATCCAGAAAGCTAGCCACAGGAGGACTACATCCAGGACAAGCACTGCTCGGGAGCAGTCATCCAGTTGTACACGTGTGAGCTGTAAGTTGTTCTCTTAGCTCTCTTTCTCCCCCCCCAATCTGATTATCCATTTGAGGTTCTCCAGTGCTGAAGAAGAGCGAAGTGGCACTCTCTTGATGCGGTCATGGCAAGTACTTCGTGGGAGGGTCTTACAATATTTCCATAGGAAGCCCATTTTAAGTTTAGTAAAACTGCTGCACTTGGCCACATTTCCCATACAGTGAAATGACAGCTCTAAAGTCCCACTTCCAGTAACATACATAGAATCAATGTTCCCTCTAAGCTGTGGAGTCTTGTGAGCAAAAACTCTACTTTGTGAGCGACTAGCATTAAAGTTGTGAGCGAGTGATTTGTCTACTGCATAAATTAGTTTGCTCTGGAGCCCTCCTTCCTGAGCTAAGACTAAAATGTGTGAGCCGGAGGCTAAAAAACTGTGAGCTAGCTCACCCTAACTCAGCTTAGAGGGAACACTGCATAGAATGTAAGCATTTGTGGCGTAAGTGACTAGCTGAGATAGAAATGTTAGAAAAAACATTTCCCTTGAAGGACAGAGAGTTATGTGATAGAAAAGATAAACCCTCAGAATACTGAAACCTTTTATTTCAGGTGGCTTTTCATCCCATTAAAATGATTCTCTTCTGATTTTTAACAACTTTGAACACATGATGAGTTACGATCCAAGATGATGTATTAGAGTAAATTAATGCTAAGCCATGTGTGACTTGTGCTTGACATCTATTTGCAGGATTTATTTTATCTAACTGTATTGCTATAGGCACCCAGTAGATCTGGCCATCTCTGCTTCTGGAGAGTGAGCCCTTTCTTATCCTTAAGGTTCAAAGCAGGAAATGACACTTCATCCTCAGTCTTCTGTGCATCCCTCATTGGGACTGCGCTTGCACAGGCCAGCCACCGGAGGCTCTCTTCCGGCTACTTTAGTATTCCTTCAACACTCCAAGGGGAGCCCCTCCCTCGCAGAGCTCAATAGAGGCTGTCTTCCTTGCCGAGGGGTCACATGTTCTGCAGGGAGGAGGGCCCCCCCCTTTCCCTCAATCCTTTCTTCGCTACTGCGTTGTGGGGACGTGTTCTCTTCATATCTGGTTGTCGTTTTTCTTGAAGTTTTCTGCCTGGGGACTCTCCCCTCTTTGGGAATTGTCACAGAAGGCTTTGTTTAAAAAATGTACTCAGTGCGGTACAAGAAAGACCTCTTCGGATGAACACCTTCTCTGCCTTTTCCGCTTGGGTGAGGCCGCGTGCAAGATTTGCCTCCAATTTACCCAGAAAGCCCGCTCAGATCGAGCAGCATGCTTAAAGGCAAGCTTATGGGAGAAAGTGCTCTCTTGCTGTAATAGCCCAGCAGCGAAAACCACTGCCCCAGCAGAGCACAGACAATCCTTGCCTTTGAAGTCCCCAGTTAGAACCGATTAACTTGTGAGCCCGGTTCAAAAGAGCCGAAGCGTCAAATCCGATCACCTGCCTGTTCAGCTGAATGCTGCGCATCAGAACCCCCCCCACCTAAGAAATCCAAATCCAAACATAAGGGGAAGCATCATTCCAGTTCCAAGACACTCCCAGAATTGATTAATTCTTTGGTTCCAGCCGAACCATCTTCAGTTCTGATGGAATGGCAGGAAGTCTCCCCACCCTGAACCACATGCCTCCCCGGCTCATTCGTTCTCAGAAGGGGAAATAGAGCCTGGCCAGGATGCATTGGCGGTTTCAGCAGCTAGTCAGCTGTCGGAACCACTGTCCCCAGCACTGTGGCAGATTTCTAAGTCTCTGCCGCCTTGGCAAGGCCACCCTTATTATTTACCTTCTCCTAGACCTCAAGAATGAGGAGACTGGCAATCACGAAAAGCACCTCCAGAACTGAGGCACCCCTTTTCATGGAACCATGACATTGTGGGTCCACCAGTTTCGTTTTCTCCTGCAATCTCTCCCCACCATGGGGCATTAGGATTCCAAGGAAGAGCCGTTTTTGAGGGCTATCTCCCTTTCTGGTTCAGGCTCAGTCTTACCATCGGACCCTTCCCCGATTACACTGCAGAGCAAATGACGCAGATGGCTAAACCATTGGAAATAGAGGTGTCGCCCAAGGGCCCCACCCCTAGACAGAATGACCCTGCCTTGCTTGACTTCTGGCACCTGGTACTCGGAGCCTGCAAGCCAGTACAGTTTGCGTCCACCCAAATTAGCAGTGGCATGGAAGACACAGCTTCCTCCCTGGCAGACCTGGCTGCTGAGAACCAGGCACGCCAAATGCAGGTACAGCAGCTGACAAACCCTTTTAGGGAAATGTCCAGTGAGCCCTCCAGAGAAGTTCAAGGGAGGCCAAGAAGAATTGGAAGGGACCTCCAGGGTCATCTAGTCCAATCCCCTGCACAATTTTGGAAATTCACAAATACTTCCTCCTCCACACCTGCACTGTCCACTGTTCCACGCCCAGAAATGACAAAAAACCTCCAGGATCCCTGGTCAAACCAGCCTGGAGAAAAATTGCTTCCTGACCCCAATCAGCATTTTTCTGGGCGTGTAAGAAATGGCCACAAGAACTAACTACTGAGGCAACCCTTCCTGCCCTCCCTCTCATGATACGCCTCAGTTCACAGAGTCCGCATTGCTGTCAGATGGCCATCTAGCCTCTGTTTAAAAGCATCCAAAGAAGGAGAGCCCACCAGCTCCTGAGGAAGCCTGTTCCACTGAGGAACTGCTTTAACTGTCAGGAAGTTCTTCCTAATGTTTAGCCGGAAACTCTTCGGATTTAATTTCAACCCGTTGGTTCTGGTCTGGCTTTCTGTGGCAACAGAAAGCAACTCCATACCATCCTCTATATGACAGCCCTTCAAGTACTTGAATATGGTTATCATATCATCTCTCAGTCGTCTCCTCTCCAGGCTGAACATACCCAGCTCCTTCAACCTTTCCTCATAGGACTTAGTCTCCAAACCCCTCACCATCTTAGTTGCCCTCCTCTGGGCACGTTACAGTTTTTCTATATCCTTCTTAAATTGTGGTGTCCCAAACTGAACACAATACTCTAGATGAGGTCTAACCAAAGCAGAATAAAGTGGTACCATCACTTCACGTGATCTGGACACTATTAGCCCAAGACCGCATTTGCCTTTTTAGCTACCGCATCACACTGCTGACTCATGTTCAGTGTATGGTCTACTAAGACCCCTAGATCCTTTTTGCACATACTACTGCCAAGGCGAATCTCCCCCAACCTATAATTATGCATTTGATTTTTCCTACCTAAATGCAGAACTTTACATTTATCCCCATTGAAATTCCATTTTATTTGTTTTAGCCCAGTTGAACAAAACAGGTCCCAGGACAGATCCTTGAGGCACTCCACTTGTCACTCCTCTCCGAGAAGATGAGGAACCATTCACAAGCACTCTTTGCGTGTGATCTGTCAACCAGTTACAGATCCATCTAACAGTCATAGCATTCAAACCACATTTTTCCAATTTGTCAACAAGAATATTATGTGGAGCTTTATCAAAATCCTTACTGAAATCATGATAAACTATGTCTGCAGCATTCCCCTGATCCAGCAAGGTAGTAATTTTCTCAAAACAAGAGATAAGGTTAGTCTGACATGACTTGTTCTTCAGAAACCCATGCTGGCTCTTAGTAATCACAGCCGTCCTTTCTAAATGCTCAAGAACTGACAGTTTGATGATTTGTTCTAAAACTTTCCCAGGTATAGACGTCAAGCTGATGGGTCAGTAGTTACCCGGATCCTCCTTTTCCCCCTTCTTGAAGATGGTGACAACATTTGCCCGCCTCCAGTCTTCTGGCACCTCACCTGTTTTCCAAGAATTCTCAAAAATAATGGACAAAGGCTCAGAAATTACATCTGTGTGTTCTTTTAGTACCCTCGGATGCAGTTTATCTGGCCCTGAGGACTTTGTTTCATTTAAAGAAAATAGGTGTTTATGTACTACCCCTATGCCGATCCTAGGCTGCAACTCCCTTCCCTCATCATGTGGTCTGTTTTTGCCGTATTGAGCATCATTTTCCTTGCAAGAGAAGACTGAGGAAAAGTGGGAATTGAGCAGTTCTACTCTCCATCACCTGTTACAGTTTTACTTTCCTGTCCCCTCAATGGGCCTACCATGTCCTTGCTCTATTTCTTACGTTGAACATAAGAAAAGAACCTTTTTTGTCATTTTTAGCATCTCTTGCTAGCCTAAGCTCATACTGAGCTTTAGCTTTCCTAACTCTCTACAAGTACTGATTATTTGTTTATATTCATCCTTGGTTATAAGGTCCTCCTTCCACTTTCTGAATGAGTCTTTTATTTCTCAAGTCTTTAGAAAGCTTCTTTATGGAGCCACCTTGGCTTCTTTAGGCTCCTCCCCTTTTTCCTTCTCATAGAAGAGTTAACTGCATTCTTGGCACAGTGCAAAGCTATACATGGAGCTGAGGGAAAGGGATTTCCCCAATGATAAGACTAAGGTCTGTTTCATAATAAGCCTCTTAAAGGGCAAGGCTGCCAAATGGTCAGCACCTTTGTTGCTCATGAGCTCTCCACTGCTTAGCAATTTTTTGTATGAGTTGCAAGGTCTGTGCAAGTGCAGGCATTGTTTCTCCAGTTCCGACTTTTAACCCACACCCACCCCAGTTTTTGGAACACTGAATTTTTTTTTTTTTACAAACCTAAAGGTTTATCCCGAGTCAGTAGAACCCCTGCCCTACCATTTGTACATGGATCAGTTGTTTGAATGGTTTGACCTGCACTCTAGAGCTATGTTCAGAAGAGAGTATTAGGAAATAAAGTATAGAAAGAGGGTATCCACAGATGTCGTATTGATTACCTGCTAATTTGTGTGTATTTCCCTTCAGGCCGTGTATCTCTGGAGAAATTATTGGCTGAAGACATTATTGAATCTAGGTGAGTTTAAGTTCTTCACTTTCTAAAACTAGGGAGACCCTATTTGAAAGCATGGCGACTGTTGAGCATGCTCTTTGGCTCTCTTTAATATGGAATGAATGTGGAGCGCAGCTGTTTTAGTGGAAGGTGATATATTTGTACTTTCTGCACCGTAGGAGTTTGAAAGGAATTGTACTGTTGCCTCTAAATACTACATATTTCTTCCTTACTTTTTTGTAGACTACAGTTGGATCCTGCTTCCCATTCTCGTCAAGAGGCAAGTTCTATGAAAAGTCAACATTAGAAAACCTAGAGGGGTGGGCTGTGGAAACATATTCTGCCAGTTCAATTTATGTATCCCACTTGAAGATGTCATTTGTGTAACACAGGAAATTAGGGCTACAGAGTATTTTGAGAATGTCCTAAGTTTGAATGAGCCAAGAATTCTTGCAATGTAGTTCTTAACTGAGTGACACTTTGACAGTTTGAAGTCAGTGGGCTTAGAAGGGTACAGCTGTTGAAGACTTTGCTGTTAAAGACCTTTGTAGTCTCTGTTGATTCAGAGTAGGATTTTACGCTGCATTTCATGTATATCATCTTTAACTCACTGAAGTGACATAACTTTCTTATACAGTGATGTTACTATAAGCTATATGGCATTTATGCTTGGCCTATAAGCAATTCTGGGTTATCTTTCTGATGGAAACTTGGTGGATGCTTACAAGTATTCTTAAGATTCTGGGTAGTTCTGCAAAGATATATATCAGAACATTCCACCTTACATACAGGTCTAGCATACCTTACTATAAACATGTCTGTTTATTATAAGCACCCCATTCTACTATAAGTCTTCATATTTTGTCCATAACTTATTCTTCTACACTATACCACACTTCTGCTGGTATTTATTTGTTGAAGTAAGTTCATTTAGTATATCTGCAGCCACTATAAAGCAGGCCTTGACCATTCCAGATGCCATGTTGCTGTCGTGATCTGAAGTTGCCTTGTGGTGACTGAAGCTCTGGTGGCCCCTGGGCTGTAAACTCTGTTACAAGAGTTTAAAAGCAAGGAGAGCCAGCCCTTTAAGAATGCACTGCAAAACTTCCAGCACAGAGCTAATTTTGTGCTAGGATATGAGCTCTGCTGAAAACTGAGCTCAGTTGCTGCTGGCTTCCCTCTCTCTAGCCACAGCCATGGGAAAGCTGGAGGGAAGGCAAATGGGCTGTGCTTAGTAGAGTGGGCAAAGGGAAGAGTCCTTTCCTCCAAGGGTGGGAGTGGGGTAGAGATGTAAAATTTCCGGAAATTTTGAAGCTTGGGAAAAAACCCAGCCCCCCCCCCCCGCCTGGAAAAAAAACATAAATTTTTGGGAGAATTGAAAAAATGCTACATTAGCACTTCTTTTTTTTTCCAAATTGAAAGTCATTCTGTTACTTTAGGAACATAAAACATGACTATAGACATTTTTTCTTGGCATGAAATTACCACAACTAATAATAATAATAACTAGCATATTAAAAATATAGTGTAAACAATTATTACAAACAGAATACCCACCCACATGCAAAAACAAAACTGAAACCTTTTTCTTTTCTTGTGACAATAGCACCTCCTGCCAACCTAGCAGTTTGAAAGCAAGAAATTGCAAGTAGATAAATAGGTACCACTTCAGTGGGAAGGTAACAGCGTTCGTGCGCCTCAGTATTTAGTCATGCCCCCAGAAATTTACAATCCAATATCTAAGACAAAGTGAAGCAGAGAAAGGGGAGAAGATTGGGGGGCTGGGGAAGAATGTGTGTTCATTCCGATGACATGTGTATGGCTTAGTTCTTGTAGGGGAGGGAAAATAAGGGGTTATGTGAAAGTTTTCACGTTTTTCCTGAGCTGTACCTCTTCAGGAAGATCTCCTTGCATGCACAAAATATTTTGTACCCCATCTGAAAGAAGATGAGGAAAACGTAACTCTGCAACTTAGCCCAAGGCTCTGAAAGGCTTACTAAGTGCAGTCAAGGCGAAATTGATGCTGTTACCTCTTAGAGTAGGGCCTAACCTGTTAAATTTAGGATTGGCTACTGGTTCGTGAAAGATGTCCTGTCCCTTTAACAGAGGCTTAATGTGTGGAAATGCAGTGGAAGCTTTTTGTGGCATGGAAGTAAATAACATCACCTGATAAATAATGTCCCATTTATTCTCTATTAAAAGGAGTTTTTCTCCAGGCCAGCTGGCAATCCCGGAAATCTTAGTGACATTATTAAATTGCTTAATGATTGAGGAAAAAATCAGATTCGTTTTTGATGAGGCTGGGCTCCTAGGTCCAAAGAAAAATTTTCAGGGCTACATATACATTATATATGTAACAGAGACTGAATAGTAGCAAATTTCTTTACATTTCTGGACATATACTGGGAATACTGACACGTACAAGAAAATAGTTAAGTGTTGACCAAGATTCTGATATTCAGCATTATTGCTGTACAGAGGTTTAAGTTTTGCATGCTTGGAGAATATGTGCTGTGGCGGAGCAGGATTTCATCCATCTGTTCTGTTTTTTGCATTGCATGTTGACACATTAAAGATGTTTGCATAAAGTCTACATGTAAGGAGTCCAGCATACACTGTCATTCTTGGATACTGATTATTGTTCAGTTACGACTTATGTATGTTGGATTTCGTGGATGTTTGGCAGGCTAGTGCAAGTGATCCCATTTTCTGTGTGCATAGAACTTGTAGCTGTTAGAGCTTCATCCTTTGAGCTGGGTGAAATTTTAGTTCAGTGGGCCATTCTTTTGTCTGCCCAGCAGATAAAGCACCAAAGTTTAGCTGTATACCTACTGTAGGAGAACTATGCAGCTTGTAAGTGTGTGATTCTTCAGCATTACCAAAGGACATGGATGGTTAGTCTTTTAAGTGGCAAGATTTTTGCTGTTGGATATATAGCTCTGTGAGCTTCTAATGATGTCCAGAGCTGGTTTTTCCAACTGCTGTCTGCTTTTCAGTGCTGGAAGGGAGAGAATTCTCAAGTCTCTCTTAGGGCAGGAACAAACCTATTGTTGCTTCTGTTACTACGTTGTGGCTCTTTAGTGCAGTGCGTCCTCCTTTCCTAAAGCAGCATGTAACTGATTGGCAGATGGACCCATATAGTAAACAGCAGCTGAGGAAACACTGCAGTGTATGTTACAGAGTGTATATTGAGAGACACTTGTCCACATGTAACTATGAATGATCCTGGAGTTTAGATAGCTGATGATGCAGCAAGATAACAACTGGTGCTGTTTTTGGTTTCACCCAACTGGGATAGGTGCTAAATATTGTAGAATGTTCTTACAGCCTAAGAGGATTTTTGATTGGCTGAGGCAAAAATACCCTTTAAGTTTATATTTCAGCAGGGTTTGTGTCCTGCTTGTATCTGTATGTCTTTTAATGTAATAACACATTTTGTACTTTGCATGATAATCATTATAAATATTTTTGTAAATGACAGATGTTGTTTACATTCGGTAAGATGGCTTTTGTATGTTTGGTTGATTATATTGTTGGCAACCTTCTCCTTGCTTGTTTGCTCCTTTGTATGGCTTATGCCATACTGACATCTAGAACTGTAAGGCAGTCCTACTCAGCAGTTTATCTGACAATAGTAATGTAAGAAACATTAATGAATGGGAGGGCTGCCTGGAATACCACAGAGATGATTCCGTAGAAGAAGAGTCCTGTGCTCCCCACCTAAGTGGCGGTGCTATCACCAAAGTATCCAGGGCTTGTGTTGATCTATGATCACTTCAAATGTGCGCCGTCATATGTTGCTGGGATTTATAATGTGCTGCTGTTTGCTGCAGGTTGCTGATCAACCACTCAGTCATTCTCACACAGTCCCCAAGGCTGCCGCTATTGAAGAGCAACAAGAAGGCAAGAGCACAGGTGAGGAATGGCAGTTTAGCTGATAAAGCGCTGGTTTTATGTATTGGATGCAGTGGATCCCTATTAGCATCTTGGCTGCTGAATTCTGCACCAGCAGTGCTCTTCTCTCTCGATACCTGGCTTTAGCTTTAGTCTGCGCAGTGGAAAACATCTCAGTCAGTGCTAATGGTGATCTTTGTCTCTGCAGAGAACAGCTGTGAAAAGAATGCTGAGGTCCAGGAGCAGCCTCAGAGAGTCAGGTACAGTTTCTCATTGGTTCTTTGGGCGAACACCATGGCCCATTTTGTTCCGATGATATGTTATTGGAACTGGTGTCCCATAGGCTTTGGGTAGGCATTTGGTATGGTTTTTCTTTGTTTCTTTTGGCAAACACCATGGCCCGTTTAGTTCGGATGCTATGTGGTTTGAACTGGGTAGGCATTTGAATTCTAAATTCCTATCTACAAAACCATCTGGTTTGGAAAAATATATATTGATGTGTGCTAGATGCCAACCGAATAATACAATGACAAAAGAGACTAGATAAAAACCATAACATCATTTAGTGTTGTGTAATGATAAACAGTGTGGAGCTGCGGTGGCTCGAGTGGTTAAGACGCTGAGCTGCAGGCTGTGGAAGGTCAGTAGTTCAGCAGTTCAAGACCCGAGTTGCCGCATGATGGAGTGAGCTTCCGTCTCTAGTTCCAGCTCCTGCCAACCTAGAAATTCAAAAGCAAGAAATTGCAAGTAGATAAATACCTTCGGTGGGAAGGTAACAGCGTTCCGTGCGCCTTGGTGTTTAGTCATGCCGGCCACATGACCACGGAAACGTCTTCGGACAGCGCTGGCTCTTCGGCTTTGAAACAGAGATGAGCACCGCAACCCTAGAGTCGGACTCGACTGGCTTTCGAGCAAGGGAATGATAAACAACCACTTATTCCTTCACAGAAAAAATATGCAAAGGTCAATAAAATTACACATAGCAGTCTGCTCCAAACTCTCTCAGTCAGTATCCTTCTAACAGTCTTGTGTTCTCAGAAGCAGTCTGCTCCAAATTCAGTCTCTCTTTCAACACTTATTCCCAATATTTAAGTTTTTCAGACCTTTAGTCTTTCCTCAGGAACAAATCCTATATAGGAATCTCACATTCAATGTTACCTTCAAGTTGACACATTGATTTATTTTTCTGTTAATCTACTTGGGCAAGGTCTCCTCACTAATTTTCAAGCATTCTGGTGCTGCTACCAAAGTCAAATGGACCCAAACTATATCTACAAAACCATCACTGCTCCATTCACCTTATCTAGGAACTAGCATGAGGATACAGAGCATATCCATTGAGTCTAAAGGAAGAATTACGGAAGGAAGAAACACTGTAGGCTTCAGAGCCAGGCAGCACATGCTGGTGGAGGGAGGATATCAGAGAAAGCAGATTTTCTATTCCTCTTTTCCCCTCAACAGAGCCATGCACAAGTGGGTGATGAAGGGGTCCAAGGATCTAAAGAGAAGTGAAGGGGAATGGTAGGAAGGAAAATGTGTGGAGGGTGTCTCCAGTTCTTTGCCCTGTGCTCTGCCTGTGTCAGACCCACGCCCCAAGCAGTGGGTAATTAACTCAAGGGTGGTGGCATGGTAGAAGGCTGGTAAACAGGACTAGCACTCTTATAAGGGACTATACATATCAGGGGAGCTACCTTACCTCCATTTGGGTCCATTGAGAGTCCCTAAGAATAAAGGGTTGTACCACAATCCTACGCTGAGACAAAGGGGTTGCTAGACTTCTCTTCTGTACTGTTCTGGGCAGTGAATACTGTATTAACACTTGCAGACAAAAGGCAAGCTATAAGAGAGCAGTGAATGAGTTATATGATGGGCAGCATACAGAGGATGAGCTCTCTCCTCCAATGAAAAAGTCATCGTCCCCTCAGTGCCCTGCTAGTAAGGTAAGTTAAGCAGCCTATCTTCAGGAGCACAGCATTGTCCCATCAGTTTCTTTCTAAGGACTGATAGTGTTCTATGCTATGTTTACAGGTTGTCCGTCCTTTCAAGACTTTCTTGCACGCTGTACATAAGAACCGGGTTCTCATGATGACCCCTGGCTCTGCGAGCCAAAACAGTGCTATAAAATCATTCCTCAAATACAACAGCCCTGTCCGAACCAATCCCAAGGTAAGGGGTGTTGATGGTTTCTGCCCTGAAGGTTATTACATAAGTAGAAGAAGAAGAGACTGGAGTTATACCCCATGGCCCTTCACTTGGGGTCTCAGAGCGGCTTACAAACTCCTTTTCTTTCCCCTCCCAACAGACACCCTGTGAGGTAGGTGGGGCTGAGAGAGCTCTTCCAAGGACAGCTCTTGTCAGAACTATGGCTTGCCCAAGGTCATCCAGCAGCTGCAAGTGGAGGAGTGGGGAATCAAACCCAGTTCTCCCAAATTAGACTCCTCACACTTAACCACTACACCAAACTGACCCGCAACCATCTCATAGAAGGGTCAAGTTTCAGAGAAACATGTTTATCAGTTACTGTTTACAAAAAGAACCATCAGTGAAACATTTAAAAAATCTAAAATTATGATCTTCTCAAAAAATTCTTGTATCAAACAGAGGCTATGGACCATAAGTGGAAAAATAGACCTAGCCCATTTTAAATACCTGGATGAAACTTTTAGTTAAACCTTACTTGGAAAGCTCACATTTATTCAGCCACAAAAATATAAGTGCTCTCCCATGGCTCCTTTATTCCAAAGCGGGGGCAGTACATTACTGCAGTTACTGAGGCTTTTAATGCTCAGGGTATCCCAAGGTCTTATTCAGGGCAGGCATTTGTGTTAATGGGTTCTTAGAGTCTGACTATCTACTTCAGATTTTACACTGGATAGTAGATGTACCAATTTATGTGGCAGGGACTGTGCTCTGATTTGAGTTAGCACAGTGCTCAGTGGAGTCCGGGGCTTGAATTGGTGCCTTCAACTTAAGACTGAAGGCCCTCTTTTCAGTGCCCTCTACTCGAATGTGTGTGGGGTGTCTATTACATTTACTGAAGGAATCTTCCTTCAGAAGTGTATGAGAAAAATGTGTGGACAATCAACTAGAGCTGTGGTGTCAAACTCATTTGTTATGAGGGCCGGATCTGACACAACTGTCACTTTGCCAGGCCAGACCATGTGTGCCATAAAATGCAATATGAGGTACCAGAAATATAAACTTTATGCAGATGATTTCAGATGATGAATGGCAATATACTTGATTGGATTAGGTGTGATAGAACTAGAAAGTGAATCGCTCCAAGTGAAAAAATATGTT